CCCTCCCCCCCCTTGCACCCTCCTCTCTCTCTCTGTGTGTGTGTGTGTATATGTCAGTGTGGGTCTTCTGGTGCGGCCTCTTGCACCTGATCATCATGATGATGTTCAACACGGCCGCCTTGATCACCATGACCCGGTCGGCGGGCAAGCAGGGGGACTACTATCGCCGATGGATGGCGTCCCTGGAGGAGCACAACCGCCACTACCGCACCGCCACGGCCATCATCTTCTTCAGCTCCTTCCTCCACCTGGGCACGCTGCACCTCTTCGGCAGCAGGCTGTTCGGGCGGACGGCCTTCTCTCTGCAGGTGCACCAGAAGTCCTTTCTGTTCTTTGAGCTGCTGACGCTGGCAGAGGATTTGCCACAAGTGACACTACAGGTGACGTTGAGAGGGGGGCGCGGGGAGGCGATTAAGTGCTTCGTATCTGTGTGTGTGTGTGCCTGGGCAGGTGTCTTATGTGCTGCTCAACTCTGGCTCCCAAGGCATCCCCTCCGTCACACTCGTCTCCCTCCTCACGTCCGTCTTCCAGGTGCGCCAGCCAATAAGCCACACAAATCACACACACACACCACGACAGACAACTCAACTCACCTCAACTCCCATATGATGTGTGCAGATCCTCAAGATCGTCCTCTTCGGTCTAAAGTACGCTCTCTCAACGGTGTTCCCCTCTGTGGCTCTCAAGAGCCACATGACCCACATGGACGTCGAGTCCCAGAGGGACCCGTCGATCTACATGGCGTCCAATCCCTCACGCTCCGTCAGCTCGGCCCCCAGCAAGGCATCCAACGGCAAGGAGATAGATAGAGACACTGACAGACAGACAGAGAGACACGAACGGGACCAACGGCTGATGGGGGGATGGATGGATGGATGGATGGGCCGTTTGTAGCACAAGGGTCAGAGGGGGGGACAGTGGTGGGAAGGAGGCCGTGTTCCGTTTTGTGTCGTCAGCGGGAGCTGAGGGCATTTCATTGTTATCAGAGAGCAGCGTTGGTCCGTCGGTGTGAGAGGGAGGGAGGGAGGGAGGGAGGGATGGAGGAGGGATGTGGGTGGATGTGATTCATTCATGTGTGAGCCCCAGTGCGATTCATGTGAGTGAGCTGCGTGTAGTCCGCACAGCGCAGCAGGGCAGGGCAGGGGTACCTTCCTACCGTACAAAGTATCTATTTGTGCTCTCTCTCTCTCTCTCTCGTAGTCGAATGTGATGTGCGTCCGTTCGTCCGTCCGTGGTGCTTGTGTGTCGTTTTCATCCATTCTCTCTATCCGATGGGTGGGTGCGTGGTGTCTGTCGATCGACAGACACCACGCGCTCACTGTTCGTGTGCGCCCTTTGTCCGCCCATTCCTTGCTTGCTCGGTCTGGATGTCTGTCTGGATGTCTGGAGTTTATGAGAATGAGACCGCCTGGATGGATGGATGGTTTGTTTGGGGGTCTGCCTGTCTGTCTGTGTCTGTCTGTCTGTCTGTCTTTTGTCGCATTTCGCACAGTTCATCTCGCTCTTGCTGGCAGGCTGAGCAGCTGAGAAAGCCAGCCAGGCCGGCCTTTCTGTCTGTCTGTCTGTCTGTCTGTTTGTCTGAGTATGGATTCAGTATGGGGCGGTGTGGGGTACGCGATTTGTTGTTGTTGTTGTTGTTTTCCATGTGGTTCTTGTTCGTGTGATACCTCTATCCGCTCCTTCCTCGGCTGGCTGTGTGTGTGTGTGTGTGTGTGTATGTGGTGGGGAAGGGGGGCCGCCGGGCCAGTCGAGTTTTATTACACCTACTTCGTGTCAGAACGGTATTTGTTTCTTTTGTGCCCGTCTTGTCTGGTGCAGTGACTTAACAGATTGTAGGTCTGGTTGTGTGGTGTGTGGTGTGAATTCTGTCTGCCTGTTGTCAGCCTGTCGCTGCCTATCTGTCTAGCCGCCCGCTCGTGTCCCACTGGCATGGATGGATGGATGTCTTTCATCGCCTTTATTCTATCCGCCGTCTCGTCTCGTCTCGAGCCGGCGGAATGAGCTGAGCAGCTAAGCCGATTGGTTCTGGCTTTATACGACTTCTTACTTCCCGTGTGTGAGTACAGTACCTCGTGTTTCATGGTGCAGTCAGTCAGTTCTCGTAAGTAAGTGGCTGTGGTGTGTGGGTCTGGGTCAGATTTTGGTACTTGACGAACGAACATGCTGGCCTGGCGTGTGTGGAGGTTACCTATACTGAGGGAGGGAGGGGGGGGGGATACTTAAGGTTTATAAGGTGTCGCATACGTGTGTGTGGATGCGACGGCTTTGAGGGGGACAGACATCAGATAGATCAGCCTAACGCTCATTGCTGTGCTCCATCCACATGAAGGGCCCTCACCACAGACACAGACACGGACACACAAACCCATCCACCCCACCCCACCCCTCCCCACCAAATTTGCCGCTGAAGGCCATCGATCCACCCAGCGTATGTATTTCACCCATCGATATCATCCGGCAGCTGCCCGCAGTCCTCAATATTCACAGTCGCACTAAGCGGCACCACATCTGCCATAGGCCCATGAGTCATGTCCAACATAGTCGGCCGTTCGCCGTGCCCACGGCCGCTGCCAGCTGAGTCTCCGGCCGCCATTGTTATGCCGTGTAGCCAGCTGACGGTCCTGAGATCCTCGATGAAGCCCACCACCGTCTCCCACGTGTGCAGGTTGTTGGCCGACGACACGCTGATGAGGAAGCGACTCCCTGCACACACACACACACACACTCTGTGTGCTGTGCTGGTTGAGGGTGAAGGGACGGTGTAACCACACCATGCAGCTTGTGCAGAGCGAAGCCGTTCTTGTCGACGCACCTCTCGCCCATCAGGGCTACCATGCCCGGCTTGCGGGGCCCGATGAGGGACGCCTTGTGGTCCCACCTGGTGTGGTTTGGGCCGTAGACGGACTCAGTGGTGACGGTGAATTGCTGGTTGCGGCCGTCACGACTGTCCAGACAGCCGCCCTCCAGCTCTGCCCCTTTCACTGCGTAGCCCAGCCTCGTGCCTGCGCGAGGCACCCACACACACAATTCTCGTCTCGTCTCTCTGTGCCTGACGTCAGTCAGTTAGTCACCTTTGTAGTGCAGCGGGTATCCCGACGCGCCGACGCCCTTCTCCCCGGTGCAGTAGCACCTGAAGGAAATGAAGCCCACCAACCGATCCACTCATCCGGCCATTGGATCGATGGATGGCATACTCGGCACAGCGCCACCTGAATGAAGTCGATGTACCTGAAGTTCTCGGCCGCCTTGGGGCTGACGTCGGTGAAGAGGAAGATGACCACTCGCCGGTGGAAACAGGTGGGGCCCGCCGCAGCGCCGCTGCCGTCGGTGACGCACAGGTCCAGGAAGACTCTCGGACGCTAAACAAAAAGACCGCTAGATAGGTTAGCTAGGTGTGTGGGTCTGTATGTGGTTGTTCGTTCTTGCCTTTGTTGGCGGTGAGGTGGCGATCTTTTTGGCGCACTCGAAGCCCTCCGTCAGATTCTCAAGCAACACGCCGGCCACCGCCTTGACCTGAAAAGACAATGGGACACAAACACACACACACACACACGGTTTTGTGTGTGTGTGTGTGTGTGTGTGTGTGTGTTCAGAACATAACGGCGTTGCGGTGCGACGTTTCACTGACCGTCTTCTGCGTGTGCTGCTTGACCTTGAGGCAGAGGATGCGCCACAAGTCGGTTTCCTGACGGACAGACACCCAGACAGACTCCTCCCATGTGTCTGTCTGTGTCTGCGTGTGCTTACTTTGAGCAGATCTGCTCAGTGGTAAAAATCGACATGCAGGGCAAGGTAAATGTCCAGCTGGAAGACCAGGCTGACCAGGTCATTTGTCGCCTGCACGCACGCACACACACACACACACACACATACCCATGGTCCATAGACACACACTGAGAGCCAGCTGCCCGTCTGTCTGCCTACGTTGACGGCGAGTGCGCCTTTGATGGACTTCTCGAAGTCCTTGAGCCGCGCGGCGACGGGTGCCATGTCGTTGGCCTGGCGGAGCTCCTCTGCCAGCCGCTCGCACACAACCTGCTCATCCTCAGCAGCCAGGCTGATAACTGACGGGACACAAGCCGACACGCACCCTTGTTGTTTGGGTGTTTATTCTGTGTGTCTGTAGTGTGCTCACCTGGTGGTTTGTTGGCGGTGTCGTTGAGCATGTCATCGATGGGTTTGGGCTCGGCCGTTTTGAGCCTGTCGACCATGCGCATGAAGTGGGCGACGATGTCCTTTTGCAGTCGGCTCAGCTGCTGCTCCACCAGCACACTCTTGTCGATGGCCTTGCCCTTGCTCTGCACAGCACATCCATGCGACACGTCACCATACCAGCCTCGCTCCTCTCCTTGGTGCTTGACTGACCTTTAGTTTGGCCATGTCCTGGTCGATTTTGGCGTCAAGGGCCGTCGCGAGGAATGATGATTTGCCTCTCAGAGCCCGCCGCACCAACTCGAGCACCCAGGACTCGTCTGGCGAGGGCACCAGGTGGCCGCCCGTCGCGTGACGCACAAAGTGGGGCCACCGCGCCTCCGGCAGCACTACCAGAAAGTCGTGTAGCCAATCCAAAAGGTCGCCTTGCGCCGATAGCGCCATCCCGCTGAGTGTCTTGGTCGCAACGGTGCGCAGGGCGGACAGGAGCGTGCAAGCGGCCGTGGGAATGCCGGGCACGCCACCGATCAGGAACGGACGACTGATGGCGGCCAATGGGGAGTCGAGAGTGACGAAGCGTACCGTGAGCTTGGCACGCTGGATGTCGCCCACGGTCGCCCTGGCGAGAACAAAATGTCGCCGCCGCAGCTCCTCCAGCGGTGCGACCACATCGCCATGAAACGTCAAGCGGAGGACGGAAATGTGGCAGGCGCCAGAGGGGCCTCCGAACGTCGCGTCGACCACACAGGTCTCTTGGTCAAAGTCATTGCGAGCGTACACCAGCAGGTCCACCTCGCCGGCCTGCGGCTCAGTCATGTCGCCAGATGCAGCCCCAGCACTACTGGAACGAGCTGAGGCATCCTCTGCGCCGCTGAAGCCAGCCAGGCACTTGCTGATGGCTACCCTCTCCCGCTCCAGCTGAAACACGTGGAAGTCCGCCATGTCGATAAAGCCGATAAACAGTCGGGCGACGTTGGTGTTGGCGAAGGCCGGCCTCACTATGGCACGGAAGAGCTCACAAGGCTCCCGATGAGTCTCTTCATCCTCCCGAAGGCACCTCGTCGAGCAGTAGAGCATCTCGCCGCAGACTTGGCATGCGACTCGCCGGCCGAGAAAGCCGCACCTGAGGCACTTGAGGTCGGCGGCGGGATGAGTCATTGTCGCGTCCGACATCGGTGGGAAGGCGGCGTCACGATAAACGTCAGGATGAAGCCTTCATTGAAGGTAGAAAAGCATAGATCTGCAGATGGGAGGGCTCGGGCTTCCTTTCGTCCGGAAGAACTCCGGAATCGCTCGGTCCCCATTTGCGAGCTTAGAAGGCTGATCGTTCATCATCTACACAATGTCTGCCAACCCCATCGATTACTCCAAGTGGGACCATCTCGGTGACGGCAGCGATGAAGATGATGACGGTTCCCCAGCGCACTCGTCGGCACAGGCTCTGGCAGCTGCCTTATCCGGCATGTCTATCGGGGACTCGCCGACCAGACCCTCCGCATCAACAAGCACGACGAGCGCCGCGGACGGCCGCCTTCCCTTCAGCTCCGGTGAGATGCCCGGCTACAAGGTGCGGATGGAAGCCTCGACGCCTGACCCAGAACGAGAGGTCGAGAGATGCATTGTGTGCCGCAAGCAGCCTGGGCCCGGCCAGCGGTTGCAGGTGTGCGGTCGGTGTGTGCGTGAGGTGAGTCCCCGCTACTGCAGCCAACAGTGTCTGAAGCAGCATTTCGACGAGGGGCGGCACACCAAGGCCATGTGCGAGCGGGGAAGGGAGCTGTATGTCAACAGATTATCTTTGCGGGGGAATCGGCTGGATGAGCGAGGAGAGCTTTTTCAAGCAGCAGCGGATGACGCAGCAAGCGATTCTGGCCGAGATCAAGAGCTACCAGCGGCGCACGCGAGTGGTTTTCAACGTCATGAAGGTGGGCCCATTCGGCACCGACCGCGTCTATTGCGTCGTGAGTCTGTTCAGCAACTCAGAGGAAGGGCATGAGGAGCGCCATCCCCCTCCCGACACTGGTGCCATCGTCAGCAAGGACGGCGTGCTGTACCCAAGCTACCAGCTGGTTCCCCTCACCATACACCACGATGAATGGACCGACCAGAGGCTGCCGCACGACGGCTGCGGAGTGAGGATCACGGCAATCGTCTCCAAGATCATCTCGACCCTGCTCCGCACCAGGGCCCACCTGAGCGGCCGACTCTGGGTCGACCACAACATCAGAGGCGAGATCGATCTGCTGTTCTGGCGCAAGTTCCTGTGCAGGGCTCCCCATCCCTTGCTCGGCTCACTCACCTTCTACTTCATCCCCGCACCACTTCATGTGGTGACCAACACGCTGGAAGCGGCTGCCGTACAAAGCTTCGGCGACGATCAGGGTGAGGAGCTTCGCGTGGTGATCAACGAATTTCTGACGAGGAGCAACCAGATGCGCCGCCTGCACACGGTCGAGAGCCACCGCGACATGCTCAACCGTGACGAGGGGCGCAAGGAGATCGAGTGGGAGGTCAAGGTGATAGGGGGAGCCGAGGGCATGATCGATCGCATGTGCCGCGAGGCCGCCAGCCAGGTACTTGCCGTGGCTCGGTGCATCCTCTTGCCGTGTTCATGCTGCGGTGTGTGTGCAGATGGGCGTCCGTCGTCGGCAGTTGAGTGGCGCAGTGGCGCAACTCAAGGCTGATTTCATCGAGTCCGCTGTTGCCATTACCGATGCCTTCAGGTGGGTACATTCCTTCCTATGAGCATCGCGCCTGCTTCTGTCCGTGAACAGGCACAACCTGATTGAGTATACCAGAGGCATGGAGCACACGAATCCCTGGGAGCTGTCACTCGGCAAATTGGCCAAGATGACGGAGCAGGAGATGCTGCGTGTCGAGGAGGAGGTGGCGGCCACCGAGTACCCCGAGCACGCCAAGAGAATGATGGCCGTCATGCCTTCTCCCTACTCTGAGGAGAGGGACGGGCCGATGGTCACCTTGGCTGATGGGAGGGAGGTGTGTGATGTCGATATGCTGCTCAGCACACAGGGGCTCATTTGATGGGGGCAGGGGAATGTCTTTTTTGCTGTGCATGCGAGTCAGTGCCGTTTATTCTCGTTTGCGTACGCGTGAGTGTGTGTGTGTGTGTGTGTGCGTCTGCAAGTGTGTTGAGTGCGCTGACTGCGTTGACGAATCGTCTGATAGGACGTGGCAACCAGACCTTTACCTGCTTTATTGGATGACATTCGTCTCGACACACACGTCAAGCCGACAGTCACATCACACACACACGTGTCCTGCCGGGCAAATCTTCATCAGACAGGCAGGCAGGCAGACAGGGAGGGAGCACAGCAGCCTGATGTGGACTGCCTGGTGTGAACAGCTTGATGAGACCTGATCAATCCTGATATTCGCTTACACACATGGGCATGACTCTACCCAGCAGCTTCCACTAGAGACGTCTTTGTGTCAATACGACTGACTGTAAAGCAATTCACGACTGTACAGCCAGCAGGAGTCCATCGCCATACACAGACAGACACACTGCGCCGCCAAGAAAGCGGCTTAAATGCAGCCATCCATCCATCAATCCAGCTGTCCATCCCTGAGCCACAGCACCCGACCCGATCATCCCTCCCCTCCGTCAGTCGTCCTGATAGGAAGCTGCCCGCAGTCCTGGATGACCACGGGTGCGGCGAGAACCCGCAGTTCACTCAGCGGCCCATACGCCATCTCCCTCAGAGTGAGCGGCACAGGGGGTGTGGGCTGAGAGTGTCGGTCGTCGGTCATGAGGGAGATGGCCTCCAGGTAGCTGACCTCCAGCATTTCAGGGATGAACCCAACCACCGTGTCGAATTGCTGCGCCGTGGTGGTCGAGGATACGGTTATCATGAACCGACCACCTGAATGAATCAATCAAACACAACACTCACACACAAAACTCACATACAGTCTGCATTCTGACCGTGTTCTCGATAGCTCTGAATGCCTTTTTTCGTGCTGGCCCCCTCCCCGGTGAGCAGCACCATGCCCGGCCGGCGGGCGGCGATGAGGGAGCGATGGTGGTCCCACTTGCTGTGGTTGGGGCCGTGGATGCTGTCGCTCATGGCCGTCAGCCTGTCGCCCTCGCGATGGTAGCCGCCAAACACGTCGACGCCTCTGATTGAGTAGGGGATGAAGGCACCTGATGGATGGATGGAGCACGAAGAGAGATGAGTCTTTTTGCAGTTACTACAGTTAGTCACCTTTGTAGTGCAGCGGGTATCCCGACGCGCCGACGCCCTTATCCCCGGTGCAGTAGCACCTGAAGGAAATGAAGCCCAGCAACCGATCCACTCATCCGTCCATCGATGCATGGATGGCACACACGGCATAGTGCCACCTGAAGTTCTCGGCCGCCTTGGGGTTGACTTCGGTGAGGAGATGGATGACGATGCGCCTCACCATCGGGGGCGACCGGCTCTTCGGTATGCGGATGAAAAGGTCAAAGAAGACCCTCGGATGCTGAACAACGAAACGAATAATAGGGCACACGAAGGCGACTCTCCCTCCCTCCCTCCCTCTCTCCGTGTGTATGAGTTGTTGGGGTATGTTTTTGAGTCTGTGGGGTTCTTGCCTTTGGTTTGGGGCTGTTGTCGACCTTTTGGGCACATTCGAAGCCCTCCTTCAGGTGCTCTATTAGCTTGGCGCACTCTTCCTTCAACTGATCACACAACATCCGCACACACGTGCTGGCTGCCGATGGGCGTCACTCTCCCATTCGGCTCACCACTTTCTCTGGGCTCTGCTTGACTTTGAAGCAGATGGTTTTCCAGAGGTCGGTGGTCTCCTGACGTTACACGACACACGCAGACAGAGATCAAAGGCCACTTGACTTGTTGACATGGGTGCATTTCTGCCGGCTGACCTTCAGCAGCTTGCCCCAGTGGGTGTAGTCGACGTGCATCGCCAAGTGCATGTCGAGCTGATACACCGCAGCCAAGAGATTGGTAGTGTCCTGCAAAACCGCACACACCACACACACACGCCAGACATCAATCCAATCGCTCAGCCAGCCAACGCACCGATCGATACCCTGCCCACATTGATGGCGAGTGCGCTCTTTATGGATCTCTCGAGCTCCCTCAGCCGCTTGACAGTCTCGCTAAGGTCGTTGGCCTGGCGCATCTCCTCGGCCAGCCGATCGAGCACTGCCTGCTCCTCCCTCAGGACCTCTGAATCGTCGACAGACGGCAGACACGCATCACCTGACGAGACAGAAGCCAACACACGCAGACAGACAGGCGTGTCGCCTTTCGGAACTGCAGCAGAGATCATGTGAGCGTACTCAGTGCTTTGTTAGTGGCGTTAAGCATGTCATCGATGGGTTTGGGCTCGGCCGTTTTGAGCCTGTCGACGCTGCGCATGATCTCAGCCACGATGTCCCTCTGCAGTCGGCTCAGCTGCTGCTCCACCAGCACACTCTTGTCGATGGCCTTGCCCTTGCTCTGCACAGCACATCCATGCGACACGTCACCATACCAGGCTCGCTCCTCTCCTTGGTGCTTTACTGACCTTTAGTTTGGCCATGTCCTGGTCGGCCTTCGCGTCAAGGGCCGTCGCGAGGAATGATGATTTGCCTCTCAGAGCCCGCCGCACCAACTCGAGCACCCAGGACTCATCAGGCGAGGGCACCAGGTGGCCGCCCGTCGCATGACGCACAAAGCGGGGCCACCGCGCCTCCGGCAGCACTACCAGAAAGTCGTGTAGCCAATCCAAAAGGTCGCCTTGCGCCGATAGCGCCATCCCGCTGAGTGTCTTGGTCGCAACGGTGCGCAGGGCGGACAGGAGCGTGAAAATGGCCGTGGGAATGACGGGCACGCCTTCGGGCAGAACGTAGAGCTGCGCATCGGACGAGGAGTATCCGAACGTCACGAAGCGCACGGCCGAGATCCCCTGCCGCTGCAGCTCGCGGATGGTGGCACTGGCGACAGGAAAGACGACGCGGTGGACTTCGTCGAAGGACGGCTGGGGCGATAAACCAGAGGGCAGGAAGCTGAGGCCCGAACACTCTGAGGGCCCACTGTCTCCTCCAAATGTCGCATGGACCGCAACGACAGAAACGTCAGCGCCAAAAAGCCGGCATATGGGATCAATCGCGATGAAGAGGTCCACTTCGCCTGGCTGAGGTCCACCGATCTCGCCACTCATATTAGCTTCAGCTTCAGCAGATGCCGACTGGGTGGTCGCCACGCCAGCCAGGCACTTGCTGATGGCCACCCTCTCCCGCTCCAGCTGACACGTGTGGAAGTCCGCCATGTCCATAAAGCCGATAAACAGCCGGGCGGCGTTGGTGTTGGCGAAGGCCGGCCTCACTATGGCGCGGAAGAGCTCACAAGGCTCCCGATGAGTCTCTTCGTCCTCCCGAAGGCATCTCGTCGAGCAGTAGAGCATCTCGCCGCAGACTTGGCATGCGACTCGCCGGCCGAGAGAGCCGCACCTGAGGCACTTGAGAGCAGCGGCGGCATGAGTCATTGGCGCGTCCGACATCGGTGAGAAGGCGGCGTCGCGACAAATGTCAAGATAGAGCGCTCATCGAGGGTAGAAAGGCATAGATCTGCAGCGAGTGTAGACTTCGCAAGCGCTCGGTGTTCCGCTCTGGCCGTCGGCCCTGACGAGTGCACTCGAAACCCTGCACCCTGCGAAACCCCCAAACCCATCCAAGTGCAGGAATTGCCTCCTTGCAATGATGATCAGGCAGGCAGGACGTAAGTGAATCATATGCCTGGCCGCAGCCTTGCCATGGCGGAAAAAATAAAATTCTGTCCGGCGGGGTGTTGTTATCTATCAGAAAGGCCATGTGCGTCCGTCGCGACACGTGTACACCTCACTTGCACGAGAGAGAGAGAAGCGATCTATCATTCCCACCCACACGACTCTCACGCACACATGGGCCTGGCCCAGCCAATCAAAGTCTGGTCTACACGACGCACAGAACGATGCACACCGTTCATTCATTCACGGCCTAGCGATGATATCCGTCTCTCTATCGCCAGCTGCAGCTACTCACTGTCAGCATCAGACCTACGACACTCAGCACACCCCTTGTCCCCCGCCCATACCCTCTCCCACTGTCGCAGCACGGCAGACTCTTTACCACGCCGTCACCCCGACACGTCTTAGGGATAAGCCCCTCCTTCAGCGCAGCAGGGGCACGCCAGCCGCCCGTCTGCCAGCCTCTCACACCAGCAGCATCCCTCCTCACCCCCCACGCACACTTGTCGCTCCCCACACCATCGCTGTTCTGCGCCCCGTTGAGCGTTGCCCGTGAAGGCAGCGGTGCCACTCCATGGCTGCTCGGAGAGTCGTCTTGTCCATGGCTGTCGCCTTCATCGTCTCCGTCATAGCGCTGGTCGTCGTGCTGGTGGGCCACCATGAGGCCCTCAACGTCCCTCGCAGCGAGTGGAGGATACTCGAGTGGCCACCGGTTGTACCCAATCAAACCGACCATCAACAGAACAAACCCCAGCAGGTAGAGAAGAGAGAAGCGATCGCCGAAGAGGGCGAAAGACGCCAGCACCACAAACACGTCGCTGCTGAGCAGGGAGAGGTTGAAGAATGCGGCGCCGCCCTTGGTTAATACAAGAGGGGTGCACAAGTACATGGCAGCCACCGAGCCCACAGCGCCGATGAAGTAGGCCAGCGACGGGGCACTGAACGGCGCCCGCAGCTCGTGACGAGCGAAGATGAGCAGCTCGCCTGACGCCAGCAGGGCGGCGATGGACGCGATCCGTCTAAGCAGGCGGCACTGTGGCACGCCGCGCCTCAACAGATACTCCGAGCCGACATTGCTGCACGAGTAGAAGAGCGACGCCAGCAGGCACAGGAGGTCTCCCAGCGTGCGGCTCCACCAGCCGCCGTCGCCCGACGGCAGAATGCCGGGATGAGGGCGGTGCGGCCCGAGTAGCACGGACGCACCTGGAGAGGCAGGCGTCCTACTGCTCCTCTCCTGGTCACTCGCTGAATTGGCGGCGTCCGAGTAGACGATGAGCGCAAAGCCGAGCAGACAAACAGCGACAAAGAGGTAGTGCTGCCACCTGTATTTGACGCTAAGGACGGCCCGCGAGATGAGCACCACAAGCGGGATCGTGAAGCAATCCAGTAGAATGACACTGGCGGCCGACGTGAGCGATAGCGCCACCACAGACAGGAGATTGCCGTGCACGTCGCAAAATGCCACGAAGGCAAAGTAGGTCCACGGGATGGCGTGGAGGCTGCGCTCGTCACGCGAGGCGCCGCCTTCATCGAGCCGCACGTCGCAGCAGCCGAGAAGGGACGCGGCGGCTGCAACCAGTAAATAGATGCACCCATACTGAAACAACGGGAGCGGCCCGACATCAGTCAGCTGGTAGAGCTTGGTAAAGACCGTGGATGTGGCAACGAAGATGCTGACAAGCTGCCCCAAGGCCACGACGCCGACTGTAGGAAGGCGCGTCATTGGTCATCAACCAACCGGCACACGGAAACAGTTTCTGCAGCGCACAGGTACAGCCACGTGAATGCAATAGGGAATGAGTGAGAATGCCATGTGTTTGTCTGCATACGACTGCATACCTGTCGCTTCAATTCAATCGCTCAGGTTCGCTCCGTATCGTGATGTGTGTGGAAGGACACCATTCAGAAGCCACAGATCACGATCACATTCAACTTGGGGACGGCAAAACTTCTGGTCGAGTCCAAGCTCGCACGGAAGGAAACGCTGCAGGAAACCGCTCCTGCGAGGAGGAGGAAGAAGGAGGTCTGCTTGGAGAGGTTGCGAGTGAGCATCATTATGTCCAAGCCCATCGATTACTCCGAGTGGGATCATCTTGATGACAGCAGCGATGAAGACGATGAAGCACCACCTTCCCCTGGGGCTCTCGCGGCTGCCTTGTCCGGCATGGACATCACACCTTTCCCATCTACATCCACAAGTGCCGCGGAGCGTCCTGCGTCTGTTTCGGCATCGTCCTCTCGCGTCAAAGGAGGATATGGTGTTGGCCGGGTCGAGCAATGGATTCGGGCGCGGCTGTCAGTGTGCCTGGCTCGTTCGGTGTCTGCGTGTCTGCGGCGGCCCAGGAGGAAGGGCCGGTGGCATTGGTTGTATCAGAGGGGGCGTTGGGGTGATGGGGCAGGGATGTTCGTGCCTGGGGAGCCTCTCATTTTCTGAGGGTGCCCCCCTGTGAGTAGGCGTGTGGGGATAGTGTGTGTTGATTGGCCTGGTTGCTTGTCAGTCTGGTTGGTAGTCTGTCTGCCTATCTGTCTGTCAGTCCGCATGTCTGTCCACTGCATTCGCGTGTGCTGCTCATGAGCATTGTTTGTCCATTTGAGTGTCTGTAGCTCGTTATCATTGCATTGCGATCGACTGTTCATGTTTGTCCGTGCCGTGGACCAACGCGTGTGTGGCCCCCGGCGCATCGTTACACATCAATCAATGATGGTAAGCGGCTGCCTCTGATGCACAGATGCATGTCTCATCCATTTGCAGGTCATCGGCCCCTCTTGGAAAGCCAAAGGCATCACGACCGGCATTTTGATGGCCAGATACCCCGTCGTCGGTGCATGAATGTGTCACTCAGGCGCCCCGAGCTCATGGAGAAGGGAACGACACAGGCCATCTTGCGACCTTATGTCATCGCCAACTACGCCGGCCCGGGCGTCGAGGGGAAGACCATCAGCAAGGCCATGCAGCGCGAGTTCCAGGTCTCTGAAGACGCCCGCGGAAATGTCAGGGTCTTGATCACCAACAGTGCCAGAGAAGAGGTGCGGCCGGTCGCGACAGTGCAGCTGTGGCTCGCGAGACACGGGTGGCTGATATTGCACCCCGATAGTGACGATGCCAAGGAGATCCTCGCTGAGATGAAGAGAGAGCTAGAGAGAGAGAGAGAAGCAGAGGGCGTTGGCACAGACACACGAGGATGAGGAAATGTCATCGGCAGAGGGAGAGGGAGGCGATGACACTGATGAGGACATGTCCCCTCCGGAGGGAGAGAAAGGCGATGACGATGAGGTGATGGAGACATCCGAGCCACTGAAAGAGTACATTCGGGAGGTGCGGATGGGGAACTACGGCTATTACCTCGAGGACATCGAGGTCATAGACCTGGAGAGTCTGTAGCCGTAGAATTTTTATGTCTGTCTGTCTGACGTTAATTAATGCGTGTGGGTGTGGACGAGTGGTCGGACATTGAGGCCGATGAGGACGACGAGACGATTCCTGACATTTCAGACGACTGGGAGACCTTCTACGACGTTGAGGAGCTGAGCAGGCTGACCTCCTGACCGGTCGAATTCTCTTTTTCTTTCGATGGCTGCCTTTTTTGCTTTTCCTTTTTTCTTTTTCCACAATCAATGCTTTTGTTTGTTCGTTTCTCTGTGGGATGCGAAAGCGATTCACATGCAAACACCAAGTGACGATTCGTACGCACCAAAACGTCCGACGCTCACACACGTACCTGGCTCCCCTGTTGCGTTTTGAGCCACGACACAGAAGACGTGCATAAGTCTGCCTCTCTACTGCCTGACTGCCTGCCTACCAGTGTGCCTCCGCAAATGCATGGCTGCGCTCTGCGACGTCCTCACTACCAATCAAACGAACCAATGGGTGACGGAGAAACACACGCCGTCACCGTACGTACGTTCGCTGCAAAGTTGTCTCTCGTGACGCCAGGTCTCATGTGGCCAGGCACCCATACACCTGTCCTGTCCACCCCTTCGCATCCATCTCTGCAGCACACGACCTCAGACAGCCGTGCATCCGCCCCCTCAATGCACCTACACGTACGCAGATGAGACGGCTCGGCCCGAAAAAGAGCGCCACACGCTGTGGCCACAGCGACCAACAAAAGGCACGCAAACGGCCTGGCCTGTACGCAGACCAGACCCCTTGCACCGCCAGCCCCCCCACTCCTCCATCCACCCGCATGCATACGCACGGACATACGTATATGCCATGCCTCCCATCTTGACCAGCTCACATCACATTCTTCCCCACTGCTTGCCTTGCCTCACTCACAGCTCAACCGGGAACGTGACGACCCCCTCCGGCGGCTTGGGTCTTTCCTCGACCTCGAACGTGGCGGTGGCCTGGACATCAGGAGAGAGAAGAACAATACATCGATACCCACCAGACGGCCGTCTGGTGCAGGCTGGCTGTGTATGTGTGTGTGTGTGTGTAGTTGCGTACCTCCCCGCCTTTGCTGCTCTTCAGGCCGATCGTCACCTTCTGACCCGCACTGATCGGGCCCACACCCGCTGGCGTGCCTGCAGTGACGGCACAGCAGAGCAGTCCAGCGAACGGACAAGTGTTCCACTGGTGCTGGTTGGCGCTGGTTGGTGCTGGTTGTGTCTGTGGGTACCTGTGAGGATGATGTCGCCGGCCTGGAGGGTCATTAAGCTGCTGATGTAGGACAGCAGAGTGTCTACCTGCACACACATGCACACCATCATGCCAGGTTCATGTCATGCAGCACTCGGTCCCTGCTGTGGCTGGTAGGTGGGTGCACCTGCTGACTGACTGACCTTGAAGACCATGTCCTTGGTGTTGCCCCTCTGCTTGTCCACCCCATCCACTTGCAGCCACAACTCTGGTTGAGAGCAACAGGACACGACAGGCATAAGGCGCGCATGTCTCTCCCTCCCTCCCTCCCTCCCTCCCTCCCCGCCACGCCCATCGGTCCGAACGTTTTCCGCCTACCTGTGTCGTCGAGATCGATGTGGTGCGGTGGGATGAGGACAGGTGCGATAGGGGCGAATCCGTCCTGTATAGAAGTGCGTAGTTATCGACCACTCACTCGCAAGTGCGGATGATGAATCCATGTGATCACGTCAGTCACCTCACCTGCGCCTTTGACATGACCCACGGTTCGCCCCTCTTCTTCTCGGCCTCCTGCACCGCACGGGCAGTCAGGTCGATCGCCACTCCATAACCTACGACATAGTTAGTGGGATGACAGACAGACAGACAGACGGACGGGACGGTCCATGGCACACAGACAGATTCGCGGTGTCCGGCCGGCTGTGTGGCCGGGCGTATGCCCGCGTGTGTGTACGTGTGTCCTCCTTCCTTCTCCTCCTCCCCCACCGACCTGCCACTTTCTTGATGGCGTGCGCAGGGGTCGCGTTCTTGCAGTCCTTCTCCATAAACACCGCAAGCTCCACCTCGTAATGGATCGGACCTGCAGCTCAATGAAACCAAGAGGGGGCGAGCAGCCAGGCCCAGCCACGCACGCACGCGAGGTGAAATCCAGACCACACCCCACCCTTGCCTTGCCCAGGTCAGTCAGTGCTTAGGTACCCATGTCGGTGGGGATGTGGATCTTGTCGGGCGGCGTGATGACGCTCGTGCCATGCTTCAGAAAGAGCAGGGGCGCCTTGGGCACCTCACCACCTGCATCGCATCATCAATCAATGGGTGAGTCAAGACAAGAGCCCACAAGCCATCCAATTGAAGTCATCTGTCTGTCTGTCTGAGCCTGTCTGTCTTGCTGAGTGAGTCTGGCTGTCTGCAATGCATACCGAGTTCTTGTGCATGGTCGGCATAGTTTCGCCCGACGCACACCAGCTTCCGAGTGCCCCTGCTCCCAATCTGCAACGCGGAACAGGTCACAACAATTGCGCTGGAGCCTTCACTTTCATTCAAGGACTCGACAGAAGCCAGATCACTTACCTTCACTTGAGCGGCGCCCATCGTTGCTACCAACCAAGCCCCAAGAGACCTCTAAGCTCGCAGACGTCTGCGAGCTTAGCGAAAAATCTGGTTCTCCCCCCAGCTGCTCTCGTGCCGTTCTCTGGGGTGCAGAGGGTGCAAGATCTCCGCCTGGTAAAAAAGAGAGCACAGCAACAGACAGGGTTGCAGATACGGGTGATCCCCGACGTGGTTGGTGTGCTGGGTGCCTCGGTTGTTGCAGATCTGGGTCAGCTGCGTGGCTGCAAGTGCGTCCGTGCTGCACGCGTCGAGGAGGTGCGAAACCTCAGGCAGCGGCCATCTGGTCAGGGAGAACAGCACAGTGTGAGCTTCAGATCTCCGCGTCATAGTACATAGCAAAAGGAGCGTGTGAGGATGGCGCAGAGCATCCGTGAGGAGACTGCCAAGCGGCTGCTGGGCGGGTTGAGCCGCCCCTGTGTGTCGATAAGTGGTTCGACTGACCTGGAGAGCCTGCCCGACAGCTACCCCTGGCTGCTCACCAGCTCGCTCGTCGTCAAGCCAGACGTCCTGCTCAAGCGGAGAGGCAAGAGCGGCCTCGTCAAACTCAACGTCAAGTGGAACGAGGCACGGGACTGGCTCGCGCAGGCCATCGGCAAAGGTACGCCTTTTGGGGCCAGTCGGGCGGCCGGAATGGCGTGTGACAATGGTTCCTTCCTGATGCTGTGTGTGTATTGCTTTATGTTGTGTGTGTGTGTGTGCAGAGTTGACGATAGAGGGATTGAGCGGCGAGTTGTCTCACTTCATCGTGGAGGAGTTCTTTCCGCATGACGACGCCACCAACGAGTTCTACATCGCCATCCGCACCCTGCAGGAGGGCGACGAGATCCTCTTCTCCCACAGAGGCGGCATTCACGTCGGCGACGTCGAACAACACGCCAGGAAGCTGCTCGTCGAGATCAACGAGGACGGAGACGTCCCAGACATACCATTCGGCAGCCTCTTCGACGATGTCAAGGTCAGTGACCCTTTCTCTTTGCACGTGTGTTCCCAACCACCATCTGCCTCTCTCTTTGTGTGTGTGTGTGTCAGGACGCTTTGGCCCAGGAGGCGCTTCCACGGTTCGTGCAGTCGCTGTACTCGCGTTTCTGCGACCTGCACTTCGCCTTCCTGGAGATCAACCCCTTCTGCTTCGACGCCGCCACGTCGTCGTTCGTCATCCTCGACGCAGCGGCCAAACTGGACCACACGGCCGACTTCATCTGCGAGGACAAGTGGGGACACGTCGAGTTCCCCTCACCCTTCGGCAGAAAATTCACAGACGCCGAGAGATACATCCGGTGGGTCGGGAGCGCCGTGGGCAGGGCAGAGAGAGGGGCAGATAGATAAAGGAAAGGTGCACTACACTACACTACACACTCATACGTACGTGTGGATATATGGGACTGATGTGGTTCGTTCATGATTGGTTCATTCAGTGAGTTGGACTCCAAGACGGGTGCGAGTTTGAAGCTGACGATCCTGAACCCCAAGGGCCGCATCTGGACGATGATAGCGGGCGGCGGTGCGTCGGTCGTCTACTCAGACACGATATGCGACCTGGGCCAGGCGCACGAGCTCGCCAACTACGGAGAGTACTCGGGCGCCCCTACCGAGGTCACCACCTACGAGTACGCCAAGACGCTCCTCGGCCTGGTGACCGCAGAGGACACCTTCAGACCAGAGGGCAAGATACTGCTCATCGGCGGCGGCATCGCCAACTTCACTTCCGTCGCAGCCACATTCACAGGTGGGAGCGGTGCGGTGGAGTGGGCTGAGGTTGCGTCTGATCTCACGTGCTCTGTCTCTCTGTGTGTGTGTGTGTGTGTGTCGGTGGTACGTACAGGCATCATTCGAGCGATCCGCGAGATGCAGCAGAGGATCCGGGAGTACAAGGTGCGGATCTACGTGCGTCGCGGCGGCCCCAACTACCAGGACGGGCTGAAGCTCATGCGCGAGCTAGGCGCCGAGACGGGCCTGCCCATCAAGGTATACGGGCCCGAGACATACATGACCGCCATCATCCCCATCGCACTCGACGAGGACAAAGGCATCTGTAAGCCACCCGACACACATGGGAGGGAGGGGGGGAGGGGGAGGGAGGGAGGGAGAAAGGGAGCGGCGTGCATTATTCTGTGTCTGGTGGTGGTCGGTGTGTCGATGTGTGTGTCAGCGTCAGGCGCATCGACGATTCAGTCGAGCATGCGCGTGTCGACGTGGCATGAGATGCGGGTGGGGAAAGACAGAAACGTCGCACGAGTGACGAGCCGCCGAGATGGGCATTCTATGTTGTGTTTGGTACGTGCGTGTGTGCAGATGGAGGACGTTGAGCATGACGATCAGTTCCAGACAGCCGACATCTCTGCCACCACACCCAAGAAGAGAGTGAGTGAGATAGATTGACAAAATCACACAGACAGCAACAAATTGCATACATGTGTGTGCCCCCCATGGCCGTGTGCGGCGCGGTGCGGTGCCAACCAGACCTTCGCCGAGGCCAACGGCACTGCGCCTGCCAGCGAGAAGCGCCGCGTGCTCTTCACCGACAAGACCAGATGCTTTGTCTGGGGCCTGCAGGTACACACACACACACACACAGAGACAGAGAGAGAGAGTGCTGTCTTATTGCGTTGCCTCTGTGTGTGCAGGAGCGTGCTGTGCAGGAGATGATGGATTTCGACCACGTGTGCAACCGGGACAAGCCGTCTGTTGCGGCCATCATCTACGAGTTCTCGGTGCCCCACCTGCGGCCCTTCTACTTCGGAACCGACGAGATATTCATCCCCGTCGTCCAGACACTCAAAGACGTAAGCAAGGGCACACATTGACGGTTATGCAGTTGATGGATGACCTCAAGCACGTGCCGTCCACATGTGTGTGTGTGGTTTGTGTGGTTTGCAGGCGACGGAGAAGTTCCCCGAGGTGGATACGCTCATCAATTTTGCGTCCATGAGATCCGCAGACAAGGTAAGGTGGGTGACCAGCATTCGGTCACTCATTGCTGAGTGAGAAGCACAGTGTGTCGTCGTTTCGCTCACACACGTGCCCGTCTGTGCTGTCTCTGCTGTCTCTCTGTCTGTCCTAGGTGACCCGCCTTGCAATGGATTTCCCCCAGGTCAAGACCATCGCCATCATCGCCGAGGGCGTGCCCGAGAGGAAAACCCGCGAGCTACTCGTCACCGCCAGAAGAAGGGTAGCAACACAACCACAACACACCACACGAAACACCCACGCAGTGGATGACGCTCCCTTGGTCCCTCCCTCCCTCCTTGTTTTTGTGTGTGTGTATATATTTAGAACATCACGATAATCGGTCCTGCGACTGTGGGTGGGATCAAGCCGGGTTGTTTCCGCATCGGCAACACGGGCGGGATGCTCGAGAACATCATGAACTCGAAGCTGTACCGCCCGGGCAGCGTGGCGTTTGTGACCAAGAGCGGCGGCATGCTCAACGAGATGAACAACATTCTCCGCATCAAGGCGGACGGCTGCTACGAGGGGGTCGCCATCGGGGGCGACAGATTCCCTGGTATACACAACACACAGCACAGAGACTCACCCATCGCCGACCACCCATGTCTGTCTGTCTGTCTGTCAATTGGCTGATTTCGTGATTGGTTGCACTGCAGGGACCACGATGATGGATCATCTGCTGCGATACGAGCAGGACCCTGGCGTCAAGGTCATGCTGCTGCTGGGCGAGGTCGGCGGCACCATCGAGTACGAAGTCGTCAGAGCCATCAAGGAAGGAACCATCACCAAACCGGTACGTACGTCTGCTGCACTGAATCGACCGACACATACATGCGCCAAAGGGAGTGGAGCATGACTGCACTGCACTGCATGTCGTGCAGCTAGTGGCGTGGTGTGTGGGCACGTGTGCGCCCCTCTTCTCGACTGAGGTGTCGTTCGGACACGCCGGCGCATGGGCAGGCACCGACTCCGAGCAGGCCGCTGCAAAGAACAAGGCACTCAGGTGAGGTGGGAATATGGGGTGGGTTGGGACCGTCCCAAATACACGGACGCATAGATAGAAGGAAGCACCCATGGGTGTGTGTGTGCAGGGATGCGGGTGCATACGTGCCGAATTCCTTCCAGGACCTTGGTGAGGTCATCAAGGACGTCTACGACACCCTCATCGAGAAGGGCCTCATCACCAGAATGGTCGAACCTGCCTTGCCACGAGTGCCCATGGGTAAAACCGGTGCACGTGGGCCCTCCCTCCCTCCCTCCCTCCCTCCGCATCAATGCAATACGCTTCTTCTATCCGATTGTCAGACTACGCCTGGGCTAAGAAACTTGGTCTGGTCCGCAAACCAAAGGGCTTCGTCTCGACCATATCTGACGACCGGTACGGTCGGTATGCCCACAATGAATGTCACAGCTCTTTCTACCAAAATGTGCAGTGCACCCTTCGCTCACGGGGTGATGTGGGATGTGGGATGTGGTGTGCGGTGTGTGTATAGTGGCGAGGAGCTGGTGTACGCTGGCTGGCCGATTTCGAAGGTGATGCAGGGCAACATGGGTGTCGGGGGCGTGCTGTCGCTCCTGTGGTTCAAGAGACCTCTCCCAGATTACTGCTACCGGTAGGTAAAAGTGCTCACACACACACAGCCTGCCAGCCACACAGCCTCTGAGCGCTCTGTGTGTGCTTTGCTCACGTGTAGGTATCTTGAGATGGTGCTCATGCTGACGGCCGACCACGGACCCGCCGTCTGCGGCGCACACAACACGGTAAACACGGTCTGCATCCACACCAGACAGACAGACAGACAGACAAGTGCTGAGTGTCGTGCGCTCGTGTGGCGTCAGATTGTGACTGCTCGTGCGGGCAAGGACCTGATCTCCAGCCTCATATCAGGCCTCTGCACCATCGGCGACAGGTGTGTGTGTGTGTGTGTGGACGGACACATGGTGCGTGCGGTTGGTTGATCATCGGTCGGTCGGTTGTCGGATCCCTCTCTCCTCTCAGGTTCGGCGGTGCGTGCGACCAGGCCGCCTGTCAGTTCCTCAAGGCCTATGACGACAAACAGACCCCCGAGGAGTTCGTCAAGTCCATGGCGTCGCAGAAGAAACTCATCATGGTCTGTCTCACAGCAATCTTGACAGACACAAAGGGACACGATCAGCGAGAAAGACAGAGCTTCAAATTGTTCATGTGTTGTGTTGTGTTGTGTGTGTGCGTCAGGGCATCGGTCACAAGATCAAGTCGGTGCACAATCCCGATATGCGTGTGCAGCTGCTCAAGACCTTCTGCAAGACCAACTTTTCCCGACCGGCCCTCATCGGATTCGCCGAAGATGTCGAAAGAGTCACCACCAAGAAGAAAGGTACGGTGCGTGCGTCAGTGAGTGACTGACACAACTGAATGAACAGCACACGCAATCAGACTGATGGTTGATGGGCGGGCGAGTGGCACACACGCAAAGGGAGCCTCTCTCTGTGTGTGTGTGTGTGTGGATGTGTGATCAGACACGTTGATTCTGAACGTTGACGGCCTGATTGGAGTGTCCATGGTTGACATGCTCTTCGGCTGCGGGGCATTCTCCGAGACGGAGGCCAGAGACTACATATCGGTGCACACACACACACACACACACTCACTCAGAGAGAGAGAGAGAGAGGGAGAGAGACGAAATTCCCTCGTGTGCACCTCTGTCTGTCCGTCTGGCTGAGTGTCTCTGTGTGTCTGTCTGCGTGTCTCTGTGTGTGTGCAGGTGGGTTGCATCAACGGTCTGTTCGTGCTCGGCAGGTCGATCGGCTTCATTGGCCACTACCTCGACCAAAAGCGACTCAAACAGGTGCACATACACACATACACACAGACACATATACACAGTCATACAAGAGAGCACACCCTCACGCTTCGTTGTGTATGTGTGTGTGTGTGTGTGTGTGTTGCCCCAACCAACCAACCGACCAACCGACTGGCCAGGGTCTGTATCGCCATGACGTCGACGACATCGCCTACGTCCTGCCGGACCTTTCCACCTCACACCACTGACTCACTCACTCCCACATCCATCCATCCACCCGTCCCCCTCATGCAACGCAGTATGACTGACGATTGATCCACTCTGAGTGAGTCCTCATTGTTTTCTTAAATAAGCCACGCCAGAGCCATGTCTCAAAGGAGACGGCAGGGCAGGGCCAGACAAGGCCAGCCAATTATACGGACGGCAAGACACACGCTGGACCACTTCTCACATGATCAGACAGACGGAGAGGCAGACGTGTGGGTGTGCGGTGACTTAGAGTTTTGCTCCTTCTGCCTTCTCACTCACAGTGGACTGGTGATTTGATGACGATGACGATGACCGCGGGAGCGAGTGAGTCAGTGAGTGTGTGTGTGAATCAATGAATGCATGTCTGTGGGTGGTGGTGGTGGTGGTGGTCCTAGGGACGGGCGTCGCATGATGGGTCGTTCGTTGACTGACTGAATGAATGTCTGTAGAGCGGTATCATTTTTTACCCGTACATCGATCCATCGATCGGCGTGTGTGCCATGCGTGCTCTAATTCGTCCACTCATTCAGTCAGTCATTCCTTCATTCCTTCATTCGGTCCTTCAGGGGGGCAGTGGGGTGGGATGGGGTGGGGTGGGGGGGGATAGGTCTTCGCTGCTCATGAACCAAACCGACCGGTTGCCGTCCGTCCGTCCTGCCTGCCTGTCTGCATAGAGCGATTAATGCACCCACCAGTACCACTCACTCGTGGAAGCAGGAAGGCACAGCGAGAGAGAACGCACCATCGATTTTTTGCCCCCCACACAGTTGTCACAGTGCGCGTGTAAGGTAACTAGGCGACGTGTGTGCGACCACTACACTACACTACACCCCCCTGTAAGTATAAGCATACCAGTTTCCCCCCCGAACCCACAAGCCATCCCCAGCTGTCAGTCAGTCAGGTGAGTGTATTCTTGGTCTTTGTGTGTGCATGGCATGCGGGCCGTCTTGTCTTTCTGCGTGTGCTGAGGGATAGATAGATAGAGCGATGGACAGATGGTATGGTGGTGGAGAGGTCTGGCAGTCAGTCAGTCACTGTGGCAGGTAGGTCATTGCGTCCATGCGGCTGTCCGACTGTCTGGGAGCAAGCGTGTTGTGTGCTTTGTGAGTGACCACCCGGCCATGTCGGCCACTGCTGAACACCCACCCGGCACTCTCTGTGTGTGCATGTCTCTGGAGACCAAGTTTGCAGCAATCAACGACATACAGGTCACATAGACGGCTTGGGTCCGTCAAAAGGGACAAAATTGCGACAGAGCAGGGAGGGATTCACCCACTCACTCAGCCACCCACTCGTCTTTCTCTCTCCCTATGCCCGTGGTGCATGAGACGGACGGGAATAGGGGTTATAACTCGTGATGCTGGCTCACCATGGAGGAGGAACTAATTCTTTCCTTTCGTGGTTTGTATGTCTTCTTCATTGATTTCTTGTCCACACCACACCACACCACACCACGTCAGTCGGTCGGTCAGTCAGTCAGTCAGTCAGTCAGCCACTCACTGATTCAGCTAATTGTTGATGGGCCCAGCAAGAGCCAGCCACACCGGACGTAATGCAGGCAGGTGATACAGAACGCGCAATGCAATCCACAATTATGGCACGTACGGCGACCATGCATAAGGTAGGTTGTTTGGATGAAGCCCTAAGAAGAGAACCAACCGACAGGAATTGACCATGCATACGAGCATACGCACGCACGACACACACGTGCACACACACTACGTACACACATCCGTACGAAACGGCTCTCAGAGGCCTCCCTCTCTGGCTGCCTTTCTGCAGACCTCCGACACCAGAGGCGGCGCCAGCTTGGCCACCGACCCGCAGAGTCTACAGATGCTCCCTGACACACCCCTCTGCCCACTCCCACAGCACCCCGCTCATGGTCATCCAGTAGGGCGGCAGAGCCGCCGGCCACGGCACAGCCCCCACATGCGGGCCAGATATCTCCTGCACCAGGTACCACACCGCCGACAGCCGATACCCCACATACGCACCCGCCCGCTCCACCCACTCGCTGCACTGCTTGTTGCCCCCACCCAGCCATGCGGCCGCACGGCTGCCAAGATGGGCGGGCGAGAAGGGGGTAGGGGCATGCAGGTACGGCGCGTAGTAGAGGGGCGGGGTGTCGATGTCGATGCCCGGTGGCCCGTTGTTTGCGTCGGTGAGTGGCTGTGTAGCGGCGAATAGAGAGGGGATGGCTCCCCGCGACGGTGTGGTCATGAAGAGGTCGGCCACGAGGTAGATGGCGCGCATGGGGTGGTAGCCGGCTGACTGGAAGATGGGCGTCACCACACTGCCGGGACTCGCTGCAGGCAGGCAAACAAACAAGCAGGCAGGCAGGCAGCACGAAACAATGAATGACCAGAGGCAAATGGGCAGACAGACAGATGGTCGGTCGGTCGGTCGGTACCGGCAAAAGCCATGGGTGGGGTGTTTGGTGCTCCGGCTCGTTTGGCCTCCGCTCGTCTGAGCCGCAACTGCATGCATTTGAATGCATGCAGCCGCGCCACACCACACCACACCACACCACACCGAACATACATAGCAGATGAGCATCGGGCGGGCTCGACGCGCAGACACGCTCTGGACGGCACCTGTGCAGCGAAGAGTATCATGGCGAGCTTCGAATCGCCATAAACGTAGCTGCGGTACCATCCCTGCAGACGTGACGTCACTCACACCATCTCACTCTCTCTCCCTCTCTCTCGTATGACTCACTCACTCACCGCCAGAGCCCCATCGAGGTGTCGCCTAAGGTTGGCCTTCTTGTGCTCGTCCAGCGCTCCCTCCCACTCGTCTTTGGTGTAGTCGACGTCACCCCAGTGGTCGGCCATCATTGCGTGCAGCCACGCGGGGCCGCCCATGCGGTGGTACCAAGACCCCACATTGACAATGCGCGAGTCGGGCGTGGCACACATGCGGTCGTACAGCAGACGGGTCAGCAGGTAGTGCCCTGAGTGAGTATGGGAACAGACACAGAGACAAGAGTGAGTATGCGTCAGTTGAGTTGAGTACCAATGAAGTTGATCCCGAAAGTGGCGCTGAACCCGTCTTTGGTCTTGCGCCGCGCGTGCCAGTTGCCGAGGCCGGCATTGTTGAGCAGCAGGTGGATCGCACCGCACTCCCTGCGTCCATCCGCCAGCATAGACAGACGCATCATGTCAACCAAACCAGCAACCAACAGTGACCACACAGCCAACAGGTTTTCCCCGGCGCTTCACTCCCTAAGTCCCTCACTCACCGCAGCACATGGTCAGCGGCACAGTGGATGCTCTTGAGGTCTCCCAAGTCCACATACACGAAACGGGCTGAGCCTCCACTTTCGCTGCTGCTGCCAAACGACTCGGCCATCTCCTCGCCCTTCGCCTGCCAGAGGCACAACCCCCCACCCACCCACCCACCCGGGCACACACTCATGGATTGATTGATTGCTTTGTGTGTGGTTTTTCCTCTACTCTCCGTGTGTGGGCACCCACACACCTTGTTGATATCGAGTATCCACACGTGTGCCCCCGCTTTCACGAGATAGCGCACCAGCTCACAGCCGATGCCTGCCGCCCCGCCAACCACACGCGGCGCACAGTGTGCCGCTGCCACTTTGATCCTTTTGCCTGCCTGCCTGCCTGCCTGCACACCCGGTACGGTACGGTACGTACCTGAGCAGCCGCCAGTCATTATGCAGGTCCATCCGCGCACGGCCGCCAGCCGCCTTTCCAGCTCAGCGTCCTCCGCCTTGCTCGACTGGGCCCTGTGGGAGAGTCTGCTCCAGATGTGGTAAAGGGTGCCCGCCACGGCGCCCCATATGATGCCCAGCACCACGCAGCAGTGGAGAAGAGGCACCAGCAGCAGCCTGTCCAGCTCGTACAGCACAAAGAGCAGGAAAGACGAAGCTGCACCTTGGCCTTTTCCCGCTGCGTCACACATCTCGCCAGCGCCCCGTGATCATGAAGAGTGGCGTGGAAAACACGGGCCTCCTCTAGAGCTCGAAGCAGCGGCGGTTTCAGGGAGCACCCCAGCTCGAAGATCTGCGAGCTTAGCTCCGGAGATGACCGCCGTTGACGCCCTCTCCCTGCGATGCCTGACGCGCAGATCTTCCGTCGAAGAATCAGGCCGATTGACTGACTCACTCGCTGACTCATTGATTCATTCACTCATTGACTGACTCATCGCTGCTTGGTTCACTCACTGTCACTCATCAGCGGCATGGCCTCCCCTGTTTCCTCTGCTCAGCCGTCGCTGCGCAGTGATCCCATGTGGATGGTGGCCAAGGCGGTGGTGAGGCGTCCAGGGATCTTCCTGCTCGCATCGGTGGCTGTGCTGGGTGCGGTGCTGCTGGTGGGAGGGCTCACGACGCTGCCCATCAGGATTGAGTCGGACTTCCATCGCTACCTCGTCACTGGTGAGTCAGTGAGTGAGTGAGTGAATCTTGCGCAGCACGGCGGTGGCACAGCACAGTGATGATGGGTCTGCCTGCCTGCCTGCCTGCCTGCCAATTTGTGTGTATGTGTCAGACGGTGAGGCTTCCCTGCGGCAGCGGCAGCTTGATGCCGCCGTTCGCGTCAACGATGAGGGCCTCACCCGCCGCCGAAGACTCTCGCCCCACGGGGAGGAGGAGGAAGACCGCTCCACACTCACCGTTATCTATTCGTTGCTCAAGGGCAGTGGCAATGTATACGCCGACAGCACCAGCCTGGCGCACATGCGGTCCCTCGAGGACCGGCTGGTCGAGGCCATCGCTGACAGCGGCGTGTGCGGCTCCAGGGGTGACAAGTCGTGCATCGCCGTCACCTCTGCCCTCGACTACTTCTACGGGAGGCCTGTCGACTACAACAGCAGCAACAGCAACAGCAACAGCACCCAGTCCGTCTACAGCTTCGACGCGAGAGGCGATGCGCCGCTTGACGCGGCGCCCGTGATGGATCACTGGGCGACGAGGGACATCGGCTGGTACTGCGACAAGAGCTTCGACGACGGCCGGTGCCTCAACGGGCGGACAGAGTTCGCTACAATCGGCGACAAGGAGACATACGATAGGGCGGCGGGCAAGGCCCTGCTGCCGCTGCTGCAGGGGGCATCGTGGCCTGGCGTGCGGGTGCTCTACTCTGGCGATGGCGTGACTGCCGCCGAGGTGCGAGAGGAGGTGTGGGGTGACGTGTGGCTGGCCGTCGGGTCGTTGCTGTTCGTGCTCGTGTACCTGGCCCTGCACACGTGGAGCCTGCTGCTGTCGACGTGCGGGCTGGTCATGGTACTGACCAGCGTCCCTCTGGCGTACGTCCTCTTTGTGTGGCTGGGCCCCGACCAAATGATGATCCTCAACTTCCTGGGCGTCTTCGTCGTCACCGCAATTGGTGGGTGCGTCGGTCGAGTGGGGGCGGCGCGGCGCGGCGCGGCGCGGGCGGACAGCATACCATCCATCCCACACCCACGTTTGTTTGTCTTTCCACCTCCTTTGTGTGTGCAGGTGCTGATGATCTGTTTGTGTTGTCTGACTTGTGGAGCCAGTCCCGCCTCTTCTTCAGCAGCAAGGCAGAGGAGGGCGACACCGACGACAATGAGTGTCTGGCGCGCAGGTGGCTCTGGACCATGCGCCGGGGCGGCGGGGCGGTCGTCGTCACCTCACTCACCACGGCCGCATCGTTCTTCGCCAACATGGCATCCGCCGTAGCACCGGTCGGTATATATGGATGGGGGCAAACTACACCCACACACGCACTGCTCCCTCACTCTCTATGTGTGTGTGTCATGTCTGTGTATGCAGGTTCGTGAGTTCGGTCTGTTCATGGGACTGTGCGTGTTGAGTGCGTGCGTGCTGGTGCTGGGGCTCTATCCGCTGGTGTTGGTCATGTGTGAGCGACTGCCGCCCCGCCTGTCAAACAAGCCCCTCAACCTCTTCAGGCGCGCCACCATGAGTCAATTGGCCGCCAGGATGCGGGCGAGAGGTGACGACCAGCAGCTGGTGGAAAAGGTGACAGGAGGGGAGTGGCCACGCGTGTCGCCTCAAGACCTCGACAAGCCGCTGACCAAGGAATCGGGTTTCAGGGCAACAGAAAGGTCTGTCGGCAAAGGGCGACTGACTTGCTGTCTGAAAGATGGATGGCATCTGTCACTCATCATATTGGGTGTGCTGTGTTTTGATTTGGTTTGATTTGGCAAACAGGTTTTTCCACAACGTGTTCTACCCCTTCGTGTATCGCTTCCGCGTCTGTCTGGTGGTTTTGGGGCTGGTGTTGGTGCTGGTGGCCAATGTGCTCGTGTGGACCCTCTTCGCCCCTGCAGACACGCTGCCCGCCTTCTTCCCTGCCGGCCACAACCTGGACCTCGTGCAGCACACGACAAAGGAGTTCAGGCCGTCCGGGAAGGAGACCCCCGCTCACACCGGTATGTATGTTTGTGTGGGGGCTTCTGTCTGTGTGCATGGCCTTATAGATCTGACCTGACCAGGCCTGTGTTGTGTCATTGTCTGTCTGTCAGGCCTCCTGTACGTGTGTGCGCCCGGGTGGAGGGGCGAGGGGTGTGCGGAGAAGCGATACAACTGCAGAGCCGATGATGAGTCCCAGGACGACCAACGCAGCGGACACGTAAGAAAGCAAGATCATCCGCACAGACAAACAGAGAGAGAGAGAGAGAGGAATCGACCTTAGGCACGCTTGTCTTCGTGTGTGCAGGGGTCATGTCTGGCAAGTGGTGTGTGTCGGTGCATCTTTGGCTGGGAGGGGGAGGACTGCGCCACACGAACCACTCCACCAGAAGTAGGCAAGCCAACGCAGACAGACAACCACATGTGCTACTTACACGTGTGTCGTGTCGTGGGTGTCGTGTGTGGCGCGTGCGTCCCACAGCCACTGCAGTGCCGCAGAGAGGACTACTTCGCCTGCGGTGTGGACCGTGGCCTCTGCGTCGACAGCACGTGCGCCTGCACCGACCCCTCTTACCACGGACACCAGTGCCAGCTCACCCACTCAGACGGTCAGCCAGTCTGTCATGTCAGTGAGGGACAGACAGGCTACCCACCCGACAGGGCATGACATTCTCTAGTGTGTCCCTGTCTGTTTTGTAGATGCTCCGAAGGGTGTGGAGGTTGCTTCCTTCGCACTGCTGCCGCCGGTGAGCGACGTCAGGCTGAAGCTGAGGCTGCAGCTGGATCCACACTTGGAGGCTGAGGGTGCCGGTGGTCGTGGCGGTGGTGGTGGTGAAGGTGGCGGTGGCGGTGGTGGTGGTGAAGGTGTGAATATGACGGATGTGGACGTCCGTCTGGACCAGTCGATCGAAGGCCGCAAGGCAGACGGATGGGTGAGTGAAATGAATGAGATGAGTGGGTGAGGGATGGCATCTATCGCACTCCACTCACGCGCATATCTATCTGTTTCTCTGTCTGTGTGTCTATCTGTGCAGGTGCGCCCCTCCTTCTCCCTGGCTCAGGTGTACCGGCAGCTGCAGCGGCGACTGCAACTCGACCAACAGGTCAGTCAGATCACTCAGTCACTCACTCAGTCGGCCAACAGCACTGTCTGTCCATCCACTTGTGTCTTTGTCTGTCTGCATCCCATCCGCCCATCGGTCCATCGGCCCATCGACGCGATGGATGCATCACACCAGTCGAGCCTGTCGGTGGGTGTGAGCAGCCAGGAGACTTCCAAGCAGCGGCTGGTCGACGCCGCGCGCAAAGGGCAGGTCCTCGTCCTCGCACGCATCCTTGCACCACAACACCTCACCCACGAAATCATCCAACGCGCCAAACGACTGGTCAGTGAGTCATCGAGTGGATAAGTCCGCCTCCGAACAAGCCAAGCCACCCACCCTGGCCTGAGCGTGGTGGTGTGATATCCCGTGATTGCAGAACGATCGCGGTAGCGCCTTGGTGTTTTCTGGTGCGTACCGGCTGGCTCACCTGGGTTACGAGGACCAGGGCATCGCTGCGCAGAGGGGCTATGGCGAGCTGGGCCCGGCCGGCGAGGCCCTGCGGAGGAGGAGCAGAGAGGCCGAGGCCGAGAGCCACGCGGAGGACCTCTACCGCACCCAGAAGAACCCCACCCTGTGAGTGAGGAGTACAGCACCCACACATTCGGTCGATTCGGACACACAACAGACAGGCGATTGTGTGTGCCTGGGTGGTCTGTTGGTTGGTGCAGGGTGGAGGTGGTGTGGGGCTTGGGGGGTCTTCGGCGAGTGGGCCCGTTCGCCAAGGACGAGCCCATCTACGACGCCTCCTTCAGCCTCAACACGCCCGAAGCCCAGAACGCCATATTGGACATGGTGTGGCTGGCCACTGAAGGATTGCGCTGAGCTTAGATAGATACCTCTCTCTCTCTCTCTCTCTGACGTCTGTGTGTGTAGTGTCGCCCCAATCTGCATGGGGGTGCGATGAATCTGCTGCGGGTCAACCACATCAACTGCTGGATGGAGGTCTTCATGCGATGGCTCAACAAAAAGTCTGTCATACTCAGATAGCCACTCAGCCTCACACACTGAACACCACAACAGACAGCATATGTATGTCTCCGTCGATGTGACGTGTGTGTCCTGCAGCAAGCTGTCCTTCCCAGTGCCAGCAGCCGACCTGCCTCTCCACGTCAATGCCTTTCTGCGGGACCATCCCTCGTGGGCCGAGGATGTGGGCATGGCAGCCGACGGCTCCATCAAGTGGACCCGGGTGGGCTTCAGGTGCGACGTCCCCAACGACATGGCGGCCTCCCGCGCCGCAGAGTACGGACAGCTGTGGGAGACATACGCCAAAGAGAGAGAGAAATTCGCACCCACATCGCTGCAAAGGTCGGTAGGGTGGGTGCGATTGATGGATGGATGGATGGATGTGTGGTGTGGTGTGGTGCAGTGGGTACGTGACGAGCCGTGTGTTTGTGCGGGCGGAGACGCAGCGTGAGCTGGTCATGTCCACTCTGCACATATGGGTCATCTCCACGGTGTGCGCCGCTGCCGGAGTCTTTTTGTGAGCGTCTTGCTGCACACCACACACCACACACCTCACACACACATTCCACTCTTCCCGTGCGTCACACATGTCGGTGTCTCTTTGTGTGTGTGTGTGTTTAGGTTCACGGGCAGCGTGTTGCTGTCTTTGTATCTCTTGGTGACGGTAGCCTGCATCGTCATGACCCTCCTGGCCTTCATGCTGGTCGTCATGGGATGGCAATTCGGGGTCCTGGAGGCCATTGCCGTCATCAGTAAGCCGAGCCATACAGACCACGCCGCAGCTCATTCATCCCTACAAAGACAGACAACATATATTATCCCTGTGTGTGTGCAAATGCATCCATCGCAATGAATGCAGTCTTTATCGGCCTGTCGGTCGACTACGGTCTGCACCTGGCCCTCTCCTACCGGGAGCCGCCCCACCGACAGCCACACAAGAGAGTCCGCGACGCCCTCACCCAAACCGGCATCTCTATCCTCGCCGGTTATATCCGACACAAGCGACAGACAGACACCACATGATGCCTGCCTGCCTGCCTCTGTGTGTGTGTGTGTGTGTGTGTGTGCAGCCGCCGGGACGACTTTGGGCAGCTGCGCGTTTCTGTTTTTCTGCACCATTCGGCTGTTTGTGCAGTTCGGCATCGTCGTCTTTGCCAACACCACCCTCTCCCTTTTGTTCGCCCTGCTGTTCTTCGCGGCCCTGCTTGCCATCGCCGGCCCCGAGCGGGTGTGCTCCTTCTCACTGGGGGCGCTGCTCTGCTGCCAGTGGTCTCGCGTCTGCACCACACACCCACAACCACACCCACACAGAGAACGGCAAGATGGCCATCAGGATGAAGACGAGGAATGCGGCAAGCGGTCTGCTGCGGCTGTGGGTGTGGCGCCATGTGTTCTGGGGAAGCGTGTGTCTTCTGAGTGCGGGAGTGGGGGTGTTGGTGAGGATGACGGCGGTCCGACTCGTGCAGTGAGCATGTCTCTGGCCGAGGACCGGATGGACAGCGATGGGGGGGCCGAGAAGGGGTCTGGCGATGGCGATGGCGATGGCGACGATTGACTGATCAGCGGGACGGCGGTTGGAGGGGGAGTAGTGAGAGGAGTGCGTGTAAGATCTGATGAATGGAGAGACCGAAGGATGGACCGAGACAGACAGACAGACAGGTGAGGCACCGGTGGATGGGCGTGGTTTTGAGGTGACATTAATTAGCTGTGGTTGTTACTTTATTACAAGGGTGGGCGGGCGGGCGGGCACTCACTGCACATATGCGTGAATACACATGATGGCTGGCCGCCTAGGCCTACTGGTTCTTTCCTCAATTGTTTTTCATCCTCTCGTCCTTCATCTGGCTGTCATCACGATTCTCATCCGACAGTCTGTTCGTTTGTGTGTATGTCAGTCATTTCTGGCCTCTGCCTCTCTCCCTAGCTGCGTTGCTGCCGGCCTGCCTGCGACTGATGAATGAATGAGGCAGTCAGGCAAGCAACCAGACAGACAGGCGGACTGGGCTCGGCTGTATACCCCTGCAACCATACCATCCGTGTGAGCATCTTTGCACGGAGGCTGTGTGTCTGGCCAGTGCGATGTAATATGTACGGTTTTGTGTGACGTGCGTGTGCATGCCATGCGTGTGTGCGAGTAGGTCAGTCACGTGACTCCTGCATGCCGTGCAGTGCAGATCAGATCCTTAAGGTGGGTGAGTGACATGATGTCTGGATGCGATAGATGCGAGGTAGGTAGGTATCTGTGTGTGTATGTGTGTGTGTGTGCCCGTCCGTGTACTGTAGACACACAGTTGAGACCCTAAACGATCTGCCGAATGCACTAACTAAATGATGGCAGGCACCGATCGTACATACCAAGGTCTCACGAACACACAATGAAGCCTAAACCGCCCTCAATGAATGTTTTTCGACTGCACCGATCAGCTGTGTCAGTCACTGCACACCACACCCAATGCACCAACATACAGCCTCTCTCGCCAAGTAGAGCAGCTCAGGCGGCGGCCGACACATAGCACCTGCACACAGACAAGCTAGCGCCAGCAAGGCAGGAGCTTGCACACGAATCGGGGGCCAGCGCCGGAGTGGTCCTGTGTGTCCTTGCTCACATGGTGATGACTTGCTGCGAGCGACATTGCCACACCGATCGGGCGAGCCGTGGCAGGTCAGCCGATGATGAAAAGGGTTGTTCTCAGACGCCGAATGCTGCTGAGACGGACAACCAAAGGGTTAAATGGTGAACATCGGCGCGTAGATGAAATGCTGCACATGACCTCCCAACCTGACACCACACACACGCACGAGCATAGAACGAACCATCCCAATTATGTGTGCTTGTGTGCGGCCGTCCCTTCCCCTTACCTTGTGGCGTGGCGTCTACTGCGTCATGCATGCCCTTGAGAGATGAGCGCACGTGCGCCAAAAACTGACAGCAAATGAGGGAGTCAAAATGAGGGAATGTTCGTTCTCACGTCCACGGCGCACTGATTGCTTGGCCTTTAGAGGTCGGCATGCATCGCTGTCGTGTCGGCACACACATCCCTATATATCCATTGCAGACAGTCCGAAACGCAACCGCCCACAGACAAGTCTTGTCAGCACGTGCAGCCAGCCACAAAACACCCACCAAACATGTGTGTGACGCCGCCCGCACCACCCGCACCACCCGCCCGCGCAACAGCCAGGGAGAGAGGTAAGCACACGAACGAACAATCCTCACAGATAGATGTCTGGCTGGACTGATGTGGACAAAATGCACGCACACACACATACATATGTACAGAGACATACACACATCATTCGCGCCGCGCCCCCCTCTACCAGCCTCCCTACCTTCCTCTCTACTCAGCTAACTAGGCAGCCTATATCACGGTGGGTGGGAGGGTGGCCGTTCCCTCCCGCCCTCCCGCCAGCTGATTTGATTCAGTCAGTACATGGTGGGCCTGTCTGACATCTCCTCCCCTTCATCTTCGTCAGGCTGGTGGATGTAGCCCTTCATCTTGCGAGGCGGCGGGAGGCACACCATCCACCAGGCTGCCAGCATCGACAGCAGCTGCACACACACCACACACGCATATCGACTGACTGATGGATCGATGGATGGATGGATGGATGGATGGACGTGTGACAGCTCACCAGTGGAATGGAGAAGCCTAGCAGCAGCCCCGTCAAGAGCGCCCCATGAGCCGCAAAACGCTGCACCACACACATCCATCCATCCATCCACATGTGCACACGTGTGCAGACAAGAGAGAGGCGCGCATCGGTTGCCGTGAGGTGACCTCGGCGAGTTGGTGGTAGCAGGCCCTCCGTGGCACCTCCCTGTTGGCTCGGTTGACCTCCACCCCGTCCTCATTCGGATAACCAAACACAGGAGCACCGTCCAAACAGAACCCTGCACACATACATACATACAACCATCTAATGGTCACTTTCTTGTGGCGGGCGGTTTGGTGCCTGTCCTGCCCTCGGCTCACCTGCGCAGTGGTATTTCTTCTCGGCCAGCTGGTAGAGCGCCTGGAAGTTGATGCCCCAGACCTGATGGCCGTTCGCGTCGGTCGAAAAGTCCCCGCACTCCTGCACACAGCCAACATGCAAAACATTAAGAGAGAGAGAGAGAGAGAGAGGG